TCAAGCATTTTTACAATGGCTGAAAATACTATATTTTATGCCATGAATCATGTCGTGAGTCACAATGGCACACGTATAAACACCAAGCGCACAAATAAAAAAGTTTAGAAAAACAACACTTACCTTTCACATTGTGCAAATCAATTTGATAATTTCCTTCATGTCCTACTACGAGTCATTCTTAAGACTAATATTGACCCAATAAATTGAGTTTATGAATCTCAGCTTGAAATATACCATCATCTTTACAACAGATCTGGGAAATGACACAGAGGTGGTCTTCATCCACTTCTGCCTACATAGACTCTGACTTTATAAATCTCACATTTTCATCTCTGGTATGGAGATGAAAGCCTCAAGTTATTTTTTCTTTTTGAAAATATTTTTATTTTCACTGTACATGTTGTTGGGCATAACAGAGACAATTGCTTTTAAAGATGTCATGTGCATTGACCATACTTACCTCTGATTCGTCCCCTTTAGTTCCCCTCTCCCTTCTCCCATCTAGCTAGTCTAGCCTCCCAAGTCTCCTTTCTGCTTTGCTGGATGACCTTGAATTCTTAGGTTGCCATGGAGATTCATTCTGATGAAGTCTGTGCGGTATCCAGACTGTATCTAGCATCTAGAGCTATCCTTTAGATGGGAAGACGTTTTGTCTTCTCATTTTGAAATCAATTGATGGCACTTGCTTACCTCTCAGTTAAGGCAAGGCAGGTCTTGCTTTTCCTTCTTTAAGGAGATTCAGGCTCTCCCCTGGACATAAAGTGAGAATTTCAGCACTTAAATCATTAGAGAATGAATGCAAGGGGTTGTCCCCATTGAGAAGAGTTGGAGAAAGTTGTCTTTGTCCCTGAGTAATGAATTCTCAACAGTCTCTCCCTATTTCTCTACCTCTGTGTTTTCTAAGCCACCAGGATAATTTAGTTCTTCCATCCAAACAGAAGGGCAACTTAAATCCAAGAGCTGGACCTTAGAGGGCTGTTCTAATCTCTGTGGAGTTGGAGCAAAATTCAAGAGCAAACTTCATGGGATTGTTTTGGGGCTTCTGAAGGTGACCCAATGCCATTCTTAGAAGCCTGGAGCACTTAACAGGCCCCAGGACTTGTGTTAGAGATGGGCATGAAACAGATGAAATGCAATCACTGCACCCAAGTTGTTCCCAAGATGCTGATGGATATTAAACCTTCAGGAAACATGTATAACCTTGTGCAATCAATATAAAATAATACAGAGGATGGGATCTGTAGGTTTATAAAGTCTTGTAGGATAGATGAATAGCTTGGACTTTAGAAGCATCACAAGATCACCTGTGCTTGATGCAAGACAAGAAAAAAACACAGGTAGACAAGAATTCTGCTGGCTCTAAGAAAATTAGAACATCTTCCTCTGCCATCTGAGTAACATAAAAGATGAAAAATAATTCTTATTATAAAATAAATACATGCTTGGCACAGAATATTGGCAACAGACAATCTGAGAAGTCAAGCCTTCCAAGTTCTTCTAAACGAAGATAGTATTAAATTTTTAAGTCACTAAATTCTTTCCTATGCTCTTAAATACAAATTGCTTTCTTAAATTTACTTTGAGATGGAGTCTCATAAAGTCCATGTTAGCTCAAACTCATTATGTAGTTGAGGATGACCTTAAACTTCTGATGTTTCTCCCCAGTTCTGAGATTACATGGGTATAATCTCCACCATGCCCAATATATGTAGTGCTGGGCATCAAACTCAGAGTTCATGAGTGCTAGCGAGACACTGTGCCGAGATAAATATGCAGCCTCCCAAATGCATTTTTTACAACCTAAAATGCAATTATACAGAATGGAGCAGTTATTGTAATCTAACTGTTCAGTGTCATGATATGTAATTATCGTATTTCATGGTATACTTTTAAACAAGTATGCATATATACCTGGACCCTGTGGTTATAGTATATTCATCACATCATTGTGTGGATGTGTTAGTGTTTATGTAGATTGAACTGCTATTATTGAATAGGGTTTTCTCCAATAGTTATCTATTTGAAGCACAAAATATTGGAGTTGGAGAGATGGCTCAGTGGTTAAGAGTACCTACTACTCTTCCAGAAGACCTGAGTTCAGTTTCCAGCAGCCACATCAGGTGGTTCATAACAATCTGTAACTCTAGCTTCAGGGAATCCAAAGCCTTCTTCTGGCCTCCATGGGCACCTGTACACATGAGAGAGAGGGAGAGAGAGAGAGGGGAGAGAGAGAGAGAGAGAGAGAGAGAGAATAAAATAAATCTTTTTTTTTTGGTCTTTTTGAGACAGGGTCTCCCTGTAGCCCCAGCTGCCCTGGAACTCACTATGTAGACCAGGCTGGCCTTGAACTCACAGAGATCTGCCTGCCTTTGCCAATCTTTTTTAAAGCACAAAATATTATATAGATTCATACAGGTATATCAAGCATCCTAAATTGTTTTACTTTGCAAAAATTCTTTCAGTTGTACCTTAAATCAAAGTTTATACACACTCATATATGTGCCAAATTTCCTCTGAAAATTGTATCAATTTTAGTTCATAATTTTTGTTATTACTGAAAGTTACAAATAAAATTTCTCATTCTCAGGGCTGAAGATATGGCTCAGAAGTTAAGAGCACTGGTTGCTCTTGCAGAGGACCTAGGTTCAATTCCCAGCACCCACATGGAGATTAACAACAATCTGTAACTCCATGTCCAGAGAATTTGATGCCCTCTTCTGACTTCCAGGTGTGCTTACACACATGCAGGCAATACACTCACACATAAAATAAAAATAATAAATAAAACACTTTTTAAAAAGTTATTTTTCTTGAACTGTTTCATAATTTCTCAAAATCCTATGAAAATGAATACTAGGCATATAAAGTCTTTGTTTAAATGTTCTTCATTCAAATATTTTAAAATTATAATTTTACTCTAAAATTCAAACTTTAATTAACAAACATATATATACATATTTTATCAATATGTAGAAATACAATTAATTCTGTTTCACAATATGGATATGCTATAATTTATTCTATCACCATCTTATTGATGAATATTATCACTCTTTCTAGTTTCATACAATTGAAATGATGTTACCATCAATATCTTTATACATTTAGTGTAGTCTAGTGCTTTAATGGATGAGATAGTCACAAAAGTGAAGACGCTGGGTCAAAGGTCTGACTTATAATTTTTTATAGATGCTAACAGGTTATTTTCTAAGAAAGTTTAAACAATTTGGGCCACCAATAATATATGAAGGCATGCTCACTTTTCTAAAGCCTCCTTAGCTCCACATGTGAAAATCATTCAAATGTTTCCCAACAGGAGACAAGGGTAGCATAATTTTTGTATTTAACATTTTCTGAGGGGTCAGTGAAGTCTTTAGATTCGTTGAATATTTGCACTGTTTCAACAATAAATTAAATGTTTATAACTACATGGGCTGGTGAGATCTCAGTGGTTAAGAACACTGGTTGTTCTTGCAGAAGACCTGGGTTCGAATCCCAGAACCCACATGGCAGCTAACTATTATCCATAACTCCAGTCCCAGGGGATCCGACAGCCTCTTCTGACCTCCGCAGGCATTGCACGACATGGATGCACTTACCTACATGCAGGCAATATATGCATACACATAAAATAATAATAAAATATTTTTAAATGTTTATAACTACCACCATTGTCCGCATATATAAATATAAAATATATATGTATATATCTTTTGAAATTATATATTACAAATAAGGTATTGACCTTTCGCTACACAGTTTGTCAAGTCCTCAAAAAATGAGTCACACAGTTAACATATGACTGACCCAGCAATTCTATACCTAGGCATACCCTCAAAAGAACAGGAAATGTAGTCCCACTCAAAACATTATGAATGGGTGGAGAGGTGCCTCAGCACTTAAAAGCACTTGCTATTCTTGCAGAGGACTTGAGTTCTGACCCCAATGCCCATGCTGAAAGGCTCACAGCTACCCAGAACTCCAGCTCCAGGTAATCCAACACCCTCTTTGACCTCCACATGTGCATGCATGTGCATATACACATACTCAGACATATACACATACATATAAAAGAAAACAAAATCTCCTTAAAATTTTGAATGAGTGAGCTTGGCTTGGTGGTGCAAGCCTTTAGTGCTAGCACTCAGGAGGCAGAGGCAGGCAGATCTCTGTGAGTTCAATGCAAACCTGGTCCACAAAGCAAGTTCCAGGCCATCTGGGGTTACAGGGAGAACCCCTCTCAAAAAGACCAAAAAACGATATGAATGCTCACAAACTTAGTAATTCACAATATCCCCAAAGTGAAAACAACTCATCTATCCATCAATTGATGAATATAATCTGTCAATGCACTGTGATTAAATGGAATAAATAAATAAAGCACTAATACCTAATGCAGTATTGAACTTCAAAACATTATGTCCTGTGAAAGAAATAGTCACAGAAATGTGACATGCTGCATAATTCACTTCTTTTTTAAAATTTTGTTTTATGTGTAAGAGTGTTTCACCTGCACCCATGTCAGTGCGCCTGTGTCATGCAATGCCAGAAGAGACCAGAGGGGGCATTGGATCTCCTGGAACTGGAGTTATCATTGGTTGTTAGCTACCATTGTGGGTGCTGGGAACCAAATCCAGGTAGGTCTTCTGGAGAATAGCCAGTGCTCTTAACCACTGAGCTATCTGTCCAACCCCCATAATTCCATTCTACAAAATGCCCAAAATAGGGAAATCTATACAGATATAAAAACTAGTGCTGTCTTAGGAGAAGTAGAGGTGTCATTGAAAATGTCTAATTTGAACAGATATTTTTCTGGAAGTGAACTTATTCTGAATTTACATAGCGATGATGGTTGCTTGACTTTGTGAAAATACTCAAAGACTGAACTAAAAATGCTTAAAGGGTTAAATTTATGGTAGATGAATTGGTCCTTAACACAAAATAGGATTAGGTAACTTGAGGCCTTATGACCTCTTGGCCTCAGGCACCTGGTCAACTCAGGACAAGTGCAGGGTTCTATGGAAAGCTGCTTGGACCTCCCTGTTCCGCAGGCAGTAGATGATGGGGTTGCACATGGGAGTGACCACTGTGTAGATGACGGACAGCACCTTGTTGAGGTCCATGGCTTCTATGCGGCTGGGACGGGCATAGATGAATATAGTGGCTGAATAGAAGATGCCGACCACCACCAGGTGGGAGGCACAGGTGGAGAAGGCTTTGTGGCGGGCTGCAGCTGAAGGCATGCGCAGAACTGCCCTACCGATAGCCACATAGGAGGCTATGGCCACTAGGAGGGAACCCCAGAGGATGACAATGGCCGAGATGAAGTCCACCAGCTCTGTGAGGGCCACATGGGCGCAAGACAGGTTGAGCAGAGGGGAGACGTCACAGAAGAAATGGTTGAGGGCATTGGGGCCACAATAGGACAAGCTTGCAATGCATGCTGTTTTGATGACAGAGACCACCAGTCCACCCAGCCAGGAAGACAAAGCTAAGCCCAGGCAGACCTGGGGCCGCATGAGCACTGGGTAGCGCAGTGGGTGACAGATGGCCACGTAGCGGTCATAAGCCATGGAGGCCAGGAGGGTGCACTCTGTGCAGATGAGAGAGATGAAGAAGAAAAGTTGGGTCATGCAACCTGTGAATGGAACATTGTAAGGCCCCATCCACAGCCCCACAAGCAGGGTAGGCATGGTGACTGACACGTAGCACATCTCCAGGCAGCTGAGGTTGCCCAGGAAGAAGTACATGGGCTTGCGGAGCTCGCTGTGACTGTATATGAGGTAGATGATAAGCGTGTTCTCCAGAAGCGTCAGCAGGTAGAGAGTCAGGAAGACAGCAAACAGGGCGTCCCTTATCCCCAGTCGAGTGGACAAGCCCAACAAGATGAACTGCTGGACCCTGGTCATGTTGCCCAACTCAAGTGACTTCTCCATCTAAAACCAAAATACACCTACAAGATATATTTTTCAAATATTGATCAGTATATTTTGTCTAGATCAAAGTCATTATCTCGATTGACTACGTGCAACCACCTTCTCACCTTCTTATGTGTGTGCGTATTTTGCCTGAGTGTGTCTGTGTGTCTGTGTGTCTCTGTGTCTGTGTGTCTGTGTGTCTGTGTGCACCACCTCCCGGAAGTACCATGAAGGGCCGAGGAAGGCATCAGATCCCCTGGAACTGGAGTTACAGACCATTTTTAGTGTCCATGTGGGTGCTGGGAACCAAACCTAGGTCCTCCACAAGAACAGCAAGTAGCAAGTGCTCTTAACAATTGAGCCACATCTCGAACCCCTATCACTTCTTTTTTTTAATTACTATATTTATTCATTCATTTTGTGGGGCTGGGAGTGTACATGTGGAGGTCAGAGGACAACTTGTGGGAATTATTTCTTTAATTCTGCAGTGTGAGTTCCAGGATCAAATTCAGGTTGTCAAGCTTGGCAGCAAGCTCCTTTGACCACTGAGCCATCTCATCAGCCTTTGAAATCACTTCTTATTAGGTCTGCATCAAACCTAACTTCTAAAACACTTTGAGTAGCATCTGATGGGGTCTTTCAAAAGCATATTTCATAGAAATTCATTTGTTTGTGCTTAAAACTTTCTCACAGTTCCCTACTGCCAGTCCTTTGACACTAGACGGTCAGGCTATTTTAAGCACTATTTCTTTACATTTATTTATTTATTTATGTATTTACCATAGAAATCAGAAGAAAACATGTGGGAGTCCATTCTCTTTTTCCAATATTTAGGTCCCAGAGACTTGCAGCAAGTACCTTTACCTCACAAGTCCTTTTAAAACTTTTAAAATATTGGGCTAGAGAGACGACTCAGTGGTTAAGACAATGTAGTTCTCTTTCAGAGGACCTGAGTTCAATTCCCAGCAACCATGTCAGGCAACTCACAACTACCTATAACTCCAGATCATGTGGGATCTGAAACTTCTGGTTTCCACGGGTACCTTCCCACACAGAGACACACATACATATACATATAATTATAAATAACTCTTGGTGCAGACTTTGGTGTTGGGAGGACTGATTCTCCGGAATGAAACTCACACCTCCCCTGAGCCCAACTGTGGTCCTTACTCCATACATGGTCCTTGGCATCCAGGCCTCGATATTGGATCTCTCCCATTACTGTACATCAAGAGGTTGTTATTATTTTTCTACTTCTCTTCTACAGCCCCAGTGTGCCTTCACCTGTGCCCTAATTGAAGTAGAAATAAAAATCACAAGTTTTATATAAAAAAGAAATAGAAAGTACAATGGTAACTAAACTGTTATAATTCCCAAACAAAAAATATGTAACTGAGGCTGGAGAGATGGCTCAGTGGTTAAGAGCACTGACTGCTGTTGCAGAGGACCCGGGTTTGATTCCCAGCACCTACGTGGCAGCTACAAACCATCCTTAACTCCAGTTCCAGGGGAATACAAAGCCCTCTCCTGACCTCCACAGCATTGCACAACACAGGTGCACTCATACATGCAGGCAATACAATCATACACAGAAAATGAAAATAATAAATAAAATATTGTTTAAAAAATATGTAATTATGGGCCGGAGAGATGGCTCAGCGGTTAAGAACACTGACTGTTCTTGCAGAAGACCCGGGTTTGAATCCCAGCACCCACATGGCAGCTAACAACTGTCCATAACTCCAGTCCCAGGGGATCCGACAGCCTCTTCTGTCCTCCATGGGCACTGCATGACACAGGTGCACTTACCTACATGCAGGCGTAACACTCGTACACATAAAATAAAAATAATAAAATATTTTTAAATATGTAATTAGATCTTCCCATATAAATTTGAAATTCTATGTGTCTACTGTAATTTTGAATATTGTTTACTGACAAAAGTGTACTACCAAGTTTCAACAATAATGTGAAATTTGTCACTGTTCCTATAATGTAAGTTTTCCACTCACTCCTTTTCCAAATTTTCCACCTATTCAAAAATAACTTATTTGTGTGTGTGTGTGTGTGTGTGTGTGTGTGTGCTTGCGCACATGAGAGCACAACAAAACACTTGTGTGAAATCAGAGGACAGCTTCCAGGAGTTTGTTCTCTCCTTCCACCATGTGGATCCTGGGGATTGAACTCGGGTCATCAGGCTTGGTGACAAGTGGCCCTTACTCACTGAGCCATCTCACCAGCCCCATTCTTCATATGAACAGTGAAGATGATCATAACCTACCTAACAAGAGCTCTTGCGAATCATAAGCAAAAATGCAGGCGCTAGCAGAGGAGGTTGCTAATCCAAGTCACAAAGCACCTTGTTAGTGTTGTTAGCAACTTGTCACTGTTGGTCCATGGAAAGTAGTAATACTTAATAATCTTCAAAAAAGAATGTCCATTTAATAATAATTTTACTAGTGTTGTCATAAGGAAAAAGGTTAAGGTGCTAGAGAAGTGCATCAGTGGTTAAGCGCACTGACCATTCTTCCAGAGGACCTGGTTTTAGTTCCCAGCACCCACATTGTGACTTACAATTGTCTGTAACTCCAGTTCCAGGGGATCTAATGCCTTCTTCTGGCCTCTGTGTACACTACACATACATATTAACATACATACATGCAAACAAAACACTAGTACCTTAAAATAAATTTAAAATTTGATAGATAGATAGATAGATAGATGATAGATAGATAGATAGATAGACAGATAGATAGATAGATAATAGATAGATAGAGCACATGAAATTGAGATGGAGATGGTAGGGGGTGCAGATGGGTGAAGGGATCTAAATCCAATCAAAATACATTGTATGCAATCACAGAAACTCAATAATTTTGGTTTTTTTTTAGACAGGGTCTCCCAGTAGCCCCAGATGGCTTGGAACTTGCCAACTAGAACAAGTTAGTCTTGATCTCACAGAGATCCACCTGTCTCTACCTCCCTAAGGTTAAAGGTTTTCACTCACACACCTACCTATAAAATAGTTTTTCAAAATAGGAACATGTTAAGCAGGAGCTGAGAAGATGGATCACTGGGTAATGTGCTTGCTGTGCAAGAGAAGGGCCTGAGTTCAATGTTTTCAGCACTCATATAAAAAATCCAGGTACGGTGACACACATCTATAATCCCAAGACTGTGGAGAAAGAGAGGCAGGAGACTCCTGAGGGCTCAAATGCTGGCCAGTATTGCCAAATCAGTGAGCTCCAGGATCTGTGAGAGGCCTTCTAAAAAACTACAATGGAGAGCAATTGAGGAAGGCATCTAACATCAGCTCTTTAGTCTTCAATGCATACGTGCACATGTGCATGAGCACCTGTACACAAATGTTCCCATTCACTCATACACATATGTGCACACACATGAAGACACACATTTTCAGCATCTGTCAAATGACAATTACTGTATTATTATCTATTCATATTGTATCCCTACCAGAGTCCCACAAGTAAATCTCACTCCTGTTATTTTAGTTATGGAAGCCAGAAACCATAGCGTTGAATGCTTTTTCCAAATCTTCCCCAGCAGGAAGTTGAATAACAGTCAATGTTCCAGGTCTGGGTGACTGCACAGTTCTTAGTTTTCCTTCGTAACCATCAAAATCACTTAGTGAAAAGTGCATTTCCCCTTTTCTTTTTCTGTTGCAAGTTGTTCAATGACGAAAAAAAAAGAACATTTCCCCACCTAGGAATGCATTATATCTGGAGGACACTTGAAGACACTTAGTTTGACATTCTTGTTTGTATAAGTGGAAACTGAAAACCTGTACACAGATGCAAACGTTGTGCCAGATGGTAGTTAAGACTATCAGCTCCTCAGAAATACCAGATGCAAAGTGGCTCAGTTATGTCCTAGATGAAGATTCTACAGGCACAGTACCATTTTAGCATCCCTGTGACCTCAAGTGAAAAGCGTTCTTACTGATGTTTTACCAATAAGAGTTGAGAAACTTAGATGATAGACTGCACTTAAGTGTTTAGAGTGTCTCAGAAAATGATGGAGCCGATAGTCCATTCAGTATTGTTTATGGAAAAAGACTTACACCGTGAAGCTGTATTCATTCACCTGGCTGCTTAATTCCCCTGGGTCTTAATTTTCCTGGTCATACATCTGTCGTCAGAGATCAAAAGAAACAATGGGGTTATATTCTTGAGCCTCAACTAAAATCATGTCTTCATTAGTCAAAGAGAAGATACAGATGCCCAGAGAATAGCCCCAGTCCCCACTCCGGATGCTGTCCTTGGTCCTGAATATGATGCCCCGTCAGCACTGAGTGAATTCCTCAACTGCTCCCCCTTGTTTCTTCCTCTCCTAGGATTTTCCCACAATCCACCTTCTCTTTGTTCCTCTTTCTGGTCACAATCATTCTCCTCACCCTGCCCTGGACTTGCCTCTGTCATGAAGACTCATGTGACTCAGACTTTACAGATAGTCATGTTAGATGCCAAGAAAAAATATTGGCTTAACCTACATAAAACCAAATGATTTAACTTCAAAAGCAACTTTGGAGTTATTTAGTGTGCTCAAGAGCTGTTCAGGACTTTCATTTCATCCTATAAACTTTCTTCCAGCCATGCAATGCAGTGTGCATGCACAGTGGGAGCCCAGACACGAGCAAGGCTTGGTGCTTTCTACCTGCGGCTTGTTGGCCAAACCTGGAGGAGTTACTTAAGCCACAGGATGTTTAATAACTTCTGAAAAGCAGGGATATTTTATTCATCAAAATTTCATACTTCTAACATTAAATAAGGGTCAGGTGGACCTGGTTTTCAATATTAGATATTGATAGCAGTGGCTTTAGAAGAACTTACATGATCTAATAGAGCTTCTGTTTCCCTATAGGCAAACTGGGGATTAGTATAGTGTTCCTCTAATAGGACTCACGAATGCCAACTTTCTGGAACATAGTAAACAATAACTGCTCTCCAGCATGATTAAGTAATATGACATCCAGATATAAGTATCATTCTTACAGC